AGATTTGGAGGCCGCTCATTGAGCACCTGGAAATTATGAACAAATGAGAGTTATTATGTGGACTTCACCATTGCTTAAAATAAGCTGATAGCACTCTGGGATAAGGGAAGGGTGTAGGGAGGAGGGTTGTGGGTTTTTTTTGTTTTGTTTTTTTTTGTTTTGTTTTTTTGTTTGTTTGTTTTGTTGTTGTTGTTTTTTGACCGCCCTTTTTGGTACGTTTTGTTTTTTCCTGTTTTTGTTGTTTGGGTTTGTTTTGTTTTTTGTTGCTGTTGTTGTTGTTCGCTTTGTTTCCCCCCATTTTTTTTTTGATGCCAAAACTGTAAAAAGGAAGCAATGTCAGTCTATGGGACAATTTGTGATTGTTATTTGTGCTTCACAATAAAAATATTTAAAGAGAAACCCTGCTTAATGTGACTTTTAGATGAAACATTGACCACATTTGTTGTGGAAAACAACAAACACGGTAAATGTTTTAAATGGCTGTTTTATTATTTGAACAATTGTTAAAGAGGTGGATTTGAGGCAGAAAAGACAGATAACATTTAATCACATTATTACTTGCACCTGGTTAATGTATGTAAACACATCATTTTAGCAGCAGGGGCTAATAACTTTAGAGACGAGGCACTACTGAACAGCCCTTCAGTTGTGGTTTTATGTAAAAGTCTTAAAAAATATTTAATGGTTTTCCAGAAATTGGATACAGATAATTAAGCCCACAAGAGGATTAATCTCTCCACTGCCTCCATGACTTTTCATCATTATGGTTCAGAGTGTATGGAAGTATTGGATGAATTGCTTAAAGTCTGCATATTCCCCACAGGCTTTCATCTGGCCAAAATACCATTTTCAATTTAGCCTGACTGAATACATGCAAAAATGACACTGACATCAACTGCGGCTGGACTTTCATGTTGAATGCAGATTTGGTGTGCTAGCATGAGCCGTGTTAAATTGCCCTTTGATAACAAGTTAAAACGATAATAAAGGCTTTTAACTCATGGTGCTGTCTCACAGAGATCTCATTCTTTTATCGCATGAAATACAATGATTAAGTCTCCTTACGCCTTACTTACAAGTAAACTAAGCTATAGTAGGTTTCATGTAGCGCTGCACTGCAAACAAGTTACATACATCTTGAGATGTTTTGATGATTTATATTCAAACCCATTCACAAACCTTATCAGAGGAGGACTACAAGGTGGTGTACAGTACACCTGGTGCTGGGAGTGTAGTGTCAAGATGGGCATCTGGTGTGAAATGTTTGTCAAATATCTCTAAGAATGAAATGTCCACACTGGATCAGCGGGAGCTGGGCTACTTTGGAAAGGTTCATGGATGCAGTAAAAGAGGATATGCGGAGCGCTGGCATGACAGAAGAGATGCAAGGGACAGGGCAGATGATCCGCTGTGGCGACCTCTAAAGTGAGAAACCAAAAGAAGAAGAAGATTTAAACAAAGACACCATATAAACTGTGCCCAAAAGGGTTAGATATTGCTGGAAAAGCACACTTTTTTTAGGGGTCTGAATAGTATGGAAGCAGTTTCACTGGAAACATGGATCATTTTGATCCTAGTTCACTAAATTGTTTAGAGTAAGAATACCAAGGTATAAGGATTTATTTACACTGTATTTTTAATACAGTGCCTCGTGAATGTGTTGATAGTGTAAGAAATCGAGCTCATTTTGCTTCACTATTGTATCTCTTCTTGTCACACGTTTGACTACCGCAGCGCACAAGTGACAGAGGGAACTCTGAAATGCTGCCAGGGCATGGAGATGAACGTTTTCTGCCTCTGCACATGGTCTGATCTGTCTTGCTTCAGTCCCTCTTACATCATTGCACGTGCCCTGAGGCTTTCTCTCTACAGAGCAGGCGTTCTGTATTTAGAGCCTGATTTATACACAAACACACATACCACTAGGGGAAGCGCAATGAGTGCCCCCCGCATCCCCCATCCCTGCTGCCACAATTGCCGGCAATATAATCATCTTCCCACACTTCACTGTGCGTTTAAGGATAGCGTTAAAAAAGAAAGGGGAAAAAAACAACAACAACTTATGAAAGCAAATAGTAATTTCAAATTCGTAGGTGGATGGGAAAGCAGATATGGCTGGTTTCACATTTTCTTGACCCATTCAATTTAAAGACTTTTGTTTGTTTATTCATTTCTTGCATTTTTTTTTAAAACTTCCAACTCACCATTTAAATCTTCTTTCTTTTACTCCCACCCCGCATGGCTGGTAAGACTTGCTGTGGAACTCAATCGATACCCTGCAGACTCTGTGAACGTCAAGGAAGAATCCATCTGGTAAATGCACAACGGGAATAGAAACGAAAAATAACTCTTATTTCTGCTTTTTTTTCCCCCTCTTCCCCCCTCTGTCTGTCTTTGTTCTCAGGTTGTTAGAGAGCTCGTTGCTCAACGCAGAAGTGAAGGAAGGAGAGATTCTGCCTCCTACCATCCAGAGGCTGATGAAAGGATACAACAAGTACCTCAGGCCTTTCTTTGACAGTAAGGGAACTGCAGACATATGCAGCCATGGAAATGACAGAACACCCAGGGGAAATCTGCGTTTGACAGAGAACGAGATGGGTTCATAATGCAATTTTGTGCTTGCGTGTCCCATCTCAGATAATATATGCTGACATACATACATTAAAATTTACGTCAGTTTAATTTAGCTTTGAAATTGGTGTGCTCCATTACTTTCTGCGTACAGGCATGGAGGTTTAACCATGTTATGAAGCCCTGAACGCGCATACACAAGACTTACTTTAACACATGCAATACATGGTCTTATTTAGATTCCAGTTTCCACCAGGTGACCAATTTGTTTGCAATAGAGGAACAAAGTCTGCCACAGTGTGTGCTTTCAGAAGAAGAACAATGTTATGTCATTCCCCGCAAATCCCTCGCTACAGTTATTGTTCTGAGCTCCGGGAATCCATCACAATGTGATTATGGTTTGTTTACTCGCTGTTTGATCTGTAATAACACCTTGGACTTTACCAAGGCGAATGCTATTCAGCGTAATCACCAGTCCTCCCGCCTGAAAGCACAAGCTTGGCACACGGTAATGGTAAAAGCGCTAGCAAAGGGACATATTCACACACCCACACGCGCATATGCCTTTGCATTTCAGGCACTGCTGGAACGTCTATTAATTTTATTCATTCCTTTACATTTGCATTTTCTTTGCCACAAAAACAGTTAAAATTGGTGAAACTTTGCAAGGATTCACTTCTCATCTGGGCCAGATAACCTCAAGCACAGCCAGCAGGTCTGCACAATGCCGTCTGAGTGCTCATTTTTGGCGTTTGAAGTGGATAGCCTCCTTACTCAAAAACTAATAATCATCATTTCTAGCACATAAACACCCTTAAAGGAATAACTGAGCATTTTGAATAATCACTTTCTTGCCTGGATTTAAAGGAGAGCCACACTCTCACACTCTGTTCCTTTAATACTAAACTCCACAAGAAACACTTTTATACAGTAGATTTACATGCATCTCATTAGCACATACAGTATCTGCAGTATGACACCAGACTCATTTATGTGTCTCTGAGGGAAAAAAAAATGACTGATAAGTAAAAGGGAAGGAGAATAGAAAGATGAAACACAGGAGAGCAGCAAAGTTACCCTGTCTTTGATGGTGAATCAGGAAGAATTAATTCCCTCAAGGAGGTTCACACTCGACAGACTGCAGCTGGTGGATAGAAGTGGGGGTCTTTAGCATTTTTAAATATGCTGTCCTCCAATAACCTTACATTATATAACACAGTGTTTTATTATGCAACACTATATATATGCCTGTGTCCTCAAAATACCCTTTTATGTCATCACACTCAGACACAATGTAGAAAAAGGTCAGAGAGAGAATTTTTTTAGCCCCACTTTTGCGTTCCACAACAGTTCAACATAAAGCAGAGAGGGTGTGACACGTTACTTATTTTTGAAGGCAGCTCTCAAGCAGTAGCAAGCTGCCGGTTCTGAGCGCAGCTGCTCCCGCCTTGCCTGGCTATGACGGATGAAGCTGTGGTCGATTATTTAGTTATCGTTTCAAGTTCAGCTGCTGTTGTCGTATGATAGCTACTGCTTGAAGTTAGGGTGCTTCCAAGACAGATGTGCTGCCAGTACAGCATAAAAATTAAGGAATACAGACCATTTTAATACAATTCTTAGTCAGCACAAATACACGCACAATAACTTACAATTGCAGAAAAAATTTCACGATTTTATATATTTATCTATAACCCTAATCAGTTAAATGGTTTCAAGGCAAAAAAAGCTATCCAAAACATATGCGCATATATATATATATATATACACACACAGATACTGCCACTTCCTGGTTCCTTTCGAATACACTTTGTTTTGCTTTGCAGATCATTTTATTGGAAATTTTTAATGTTTTCCATTTCCTGTGTTTGTTTTGTTGATATTTTAATAGTTTTAAATTAAAGAAAGGTTATAACAAAAAATAACTGGCCGTAAGTTAAAAAGTGATTCCCCCCCCCTAGGACACTTTCACTAGCCAAACCCAGGCGTGATTACCTGTTGACTCAAGAAAACACTTAAAAAGAACCTGTCTGACAAAGTGAAGCAGGCTAAAAGATCTGAAAAAAACATCACAGAAACACAACATGGCACGGTCTTAAGAAACTCAAGAACAGATGAGAAACAGTCACTCACATCTATCAGTCTGGAAAGGATTACAAAGCTAATTCTAAAGCTTTGGGACTGGCTTTGGGAATTACGTTGAAAGCCATTCTCCACAAAAGGCGAAGACAAAACAGGTGAGAATCTTTGCTGGAGTGTGGGCCTCCAAAAAAATTACTCCAGGAACACATCAATGACTCATCCAGACGTCATAAAAGAACCCTGGGCAGCATTTACAGAACTGCAGGCCTTACTTGTTTCAGTTATGGTAAGTGTTCATCATTCAGCAAAAAGAAAGTGACTCTGCAAAAATGATATCTATGGGAGAGTTCGAAGGCAAAACCACTGCTGACCAAAAATATCCCAACGGATTGGTTGGTCAAGATGTTTTTGGCAAATGTGGCAAAAACATCTCGACCATTCTCAAGACTTTTGGCAAAATATTCTCTTGACTGATGAGACAAAAGATGAACTTGTTAGAAAGCTTGAATCCTGTTACAGCTGTCGTAAAAGTAACTGTAAATGATAGAAACATCAATTCTGCTCTCTACCATAAGATCCTGACAGTAAATGTCCAGCCATCAGTCATGGCCTGAAGGTCAAGCCCATTTGGGCAGGATAATGATTTGAAACACACTAGCAAGTCTATCGTGAATGGCTCAAAAACATCCAAAACAAAGTTTTTAGAGTGGCCTAGTCAGAGTCTAGCCTTAAATCCATGCTCAAAACCTCTCAAATGTGGTTAAAATGAAATAAGTCTGTGAAGAAGAGTGGGCCAAAATTCCTCTACAGTGATATGAAAGACTCATTGCCAGTTGATAGCAAACGCTTGGTTGCAGTCTTGCTGCCAATAGTGGCACAAACAGTTACCAGGTTTAGGGGGCATTTAGTTTCTCACATAGGGCCAGGTAGGCTTGAATAGCATTATTCCCTTACTAAATAAAATCATCTTTTGAAATCTGTGTTTTGTATTTATTTTGGTCGTCTTTGTCAAATGTCTTAGGCTAAAAGTAAAAAACAATCATCAAATCAAATTAGACCTGATAAAATGGGTACAAGTATGTGAGCCTTTGATTATATCTCACAAATAAACATTTCTGGTTAATGTTGATCAGGCCTCTAGCACATCACCTTAGAATAATTTTAAAGCAGTACATTCAGGTTTGGGTTTCCTCACATGAATTGTTTGCGTCAGGGTCTCTTGTCCAACTCCTGTTGGATTTAAGTGATTCTGGAGCTTCGAATCTTTGGTCTTCTTTAGCTGTATTTTGGTAGAACATCTTGTGTTCTGTGCACTGTTTTCTTGTCGCATTACCCACACTCTCTTAAAACTGAGATCATTTGTTTCCTGACATAATTTGATCTGCTTCAAAATTCTTTGCTTCATCAGTGATGGTAGCCTTCTTGCCCTAGAGGCAGCCTAACAGCCCTGAAAAAATTATCCTCCCATCCCCATGTTTTAGAGATGAGATGCTGTAAGGGTTTGATGATTTAATACAGAGAAATCCATTAGAACAAACAGTTGTAGAATGGTCTGCCCAAAAGCTGGCTGGATGTCTGCATGATGACAGCAAACTGCATACAGGCATCACTGGTGGTTTTGGAGATGGTTAGAGATGGTTTTCTAATATTTACAGTTTTTTTGTTTGCAACAGTATCCACAATACGTTTTCTGAAGACCTGAGAAATCTATTTTGTTAATGCCATGATCACTACCTTAAAACTTGATAAACTTGAAAGCTTTTGCCGCACTACTGTACCTTTGTATGATAAAGTGTTGCTAAACTGCCTTGGTCATATAAAACAGTTGCCGTGGGACCCTTCTCCACCTGGATTCTGTGTGCTGTGTGCGTGAAAATTACAACTGGCACCAAAAACTCTACTTAACATTCTGCTGCAGTGAGGCTCCAGCATTGCCTTTAGATTTGCATCTCTTGTATGCCATGTGGCTACTGCAACCCTTTAACATAAAACATAAGAACCTTTTAGATTGTCACATGAAAATAAGATAAGAAGCGTGGCCTTAAATGTGAATGTTTCACAGCCAAAATTGTGAGAACTAAAGCCCAACTGTGGCTACAGCCACACTCCCAGTGACAGCTGTGTCATCCCAAGGCTACACTCATAATGAGATCTTCAGTCTGTTTTGGCAGCGGTCAGTGAGAGAGGTGCTAAACTCTCTCCTCTGGTTTTCTTTCTAAATTACTTGTGTCTGTGTAGACACAGCTGAGCGGGCAGTGACACTCACAGCACTCATAACGAGCTGAGGTCAACTTGAATATATAATAATGTGTCATGATACAGCTCAGGCTTTCTCCATGTGCCACAGAAAAAGTTATTTTCAAGCAAAACATAGACTTTGAAATTGTCTGTCTGTCAGTCTGCCAGATAGACTATTAACAAAGATTAATGTAGACTAAAAGTGAAGGGAGTAAGCAGTGTGTGAACATAGAGCAGTATGTTTTTGAATGGTTTCTTCTTTTTTTTCTAGATGGTCCGGTAACAGTGGGTATGAGTTTGGACATTGCCAGCATTGACACCATTTCAGAGATCAACATGGTAAGAGTATCACACTACTGAGTTCTGAAATTAAACAATGAAAACATGCACTACCAATCAAAGTTTCTACAAACCTTCTTAATTAATGGTCTTTCCTTTATTTTCACTACTTTCTACAATGTAGATAAATACTGAAGACTCAAAGTAGCCACCCTTGGATTTGTTGGCAGTGCTGCAAACCCTTGGCCTTCTCTCAGTGAGCTTCATGATGTAGTCACCTGAAATGGTTTTCACTTCACAGGTGTGCCTCGTCAGGGTTTATTTGTGGAGTTTCTTGCCTTCTTAATGGGGAAGTCAGGTTGGCACAGCTGACAGCCCTATTTGACAACTGTTAGAATTCTTATTATGGCAAGAACCGATCAGCTAAGTAAAGAGAAACCACAGTCCATCATTGTTTTAAGAACTAAAGGCCAGTCAGTCTGGGAATTTGCTAAAACTGTGTCCCCAAGTGACATATTCAGTCAAAGTCAAAACATCAAGCACTACAACAAAACTGGCTGACATGAAGACTGCCCCAGGAAAGGAAGACCAAGAGTCACCTCTGCTTCTGAGGATAAATTCCTCCGAGTCACCAGCCTCATCTCAGATTAGAGCCATGCAGAGCTCCAGTAGCAGACACATCAACTGTTCAGAGGAGAATTAGGCCTTTATGGTCAAATAACTGCTAAGACACTACGACTAAGGAAAAGCAACAAGCAGAAGAGATTTGTTTGGGCCAAGCAGTACTAGGAATGGATATCAGACAAGTGAAAATCTGTGCTTTGGTCTGATGAGTCCAGGTTTTAGATCTTTGGTTCCACCTACAGAAAAGGTGATTGGATGGTCTCTACAAGCATGATTACCACCGTGAAGCATGTAGGAGGAGGTGTGATGGTGTGGGGTGTTGACACTGTTGGGTTATTTATTGAAAACTGAAGGCACACTGAACCAGCATGTCTACCACAGCATCCTGCAGCGACATGCCATCCCATCCTGTTTGCGTTTAGTTGGACCATCATTAATTTTACAACAGGGCAATGACCCCAAACACACCTCCAGGCTGTGTAAGGGCTCTTTGACCACGAAGGAGAGTGATGGAGTGCTGCACCAGATGGCCTGGCCTCCACAGTCACCTGACCTAAACCCAGTCGAGATGGTTTGGGATGAGATGGATTGCAGGGTGAAGGCAAAAGGGTCAACAAGTGCTCAGCATCTCTGGGAACTCCTTCAAGACTGTCGGAAAACCATTTCAGGTGACGACCTCATGAAGCTTATCACAAGAATACCAAGAATGTGCAAAACAGTAATGAAAGCGAAGGGTGGCTATTTTGAAGAATCTAAAATCTAAAATATGTTTTCAGTTTCACACTTTTTTGTTTACTACATAATTCCATGTGTTTTCATTTATAGTTTTATAGTTGCCTTCAGTGAGAATCTACAATGTAAATAGTCATGAAAATAAAGAAAAACCATTACCAAACTTTTGACTGGTAGTATCGATACATTTCATGGGTCCCTAACTAATAAACCACAAAGGTTAAAACTGATTAAATGCAACAAGAAACTGTGCAATGCAGGAACTTTTTGTCATGTCAGAACACATAATTTTTCCAAGTTTAATTAATCAGTCTGTCTGTATTGTGAAATGTTTGAAAAAGCATCATACCTGTTAGCAGTTATGAAAAGTTTATTGCCTTTTCCCTCACTTCTTTTAACCTGATGTGTACACGTTTTTTTGGTATGACCACCTTTATTCTTCAAAGCTGTCTGAACTTTCAAGCTTTCTCATAATTTCTATAAGTAGTCTTCTCGAATAGTTCTCCAAGCTTCCTGAACTACATTCAAAGCTTTTCTTTGGATGTCAGCTGCCTTTTATTCTGTTCTTTGTTAAGATGATCCCACACCGCTTCAATAATGTTGAGGTCCAGGATCTCAGGAGGCCAGTCCATGACTGATAGCTTTCCTCTGTGTATTTTCTATACAAATATACTGTGCTGCATTGGCCTTGAGTTTGGGATCTTCGCATTGCTGAAAAATTAAGCTGTTGCCAATCAGATGCTTTCCAGATGGTATTACATGGTGGATCAAAATCTGAGGGTATTTTTCTGCATTTACAATTCCATTAATTTGAAAAGATAGGGTTAAGTAGAGACTCACTCTTGTATCCCTCTTCTAAACTCGTCCATACGTATTGATGAAACTTTGAATTTGTATTCATCACGCTATTAGACCTGTTGTCACTTATTTTCAGCTCAGTTCTTGTATAATTGGCATACCTCAGCTTTTTCTCTCATGTTATCCTCCCTAAGAATTGCTTCTTGACTGCCACTATTCTGTTAAGATAATTTATTTCTCTTCAGCAAATAGTGTGGTGGAATAACTCTGAGGCCCTGTGTCAGGTCATTGCTGGACCTTTTTTTACTGCTTCTTAAGGGCACGGCTTTCAGTAAATGAAAAAGGCAGCCAAAACCCAGAAAACAACTTTGAAATACTTTTAGGAAGCCTAGTAAACTATTGCTTAAGACCACTTTAAAAAATTACCAGAAAGTCTAGCTCCTTGGAAGAAAAACTTCAAGAACTTTATGCTCTTTATATTTTTGGATTGCATTTTGGAACTCACATATCTGAGGGCATGTAAGGTCAACAGACATAGATAACCATCCTCATGCTGCACCTTCAATGAAGCAACTTAAAATTAAAAGTAGGGAAGACAGAATTTAAAACATATTTTCAAGAGTTAATCCATGTTTAAAAGAAAAATCTTTATCAAAAAACTAAGCTACAAAAGTTTCAGTATACTGGAAGTGCATACTCGTTTTGCTCATATGAGATTGGACTCTCTTGACTAAGAGTGATCAACCAGCCTTAATTAAATAGTGAGTGCAACAATGACTTTCCTTTGGGAATGGTTAACTTATGCAATGCTTGCTTTGTGAGAAAATTCTGCTTACAGCTAGCATGCAACACATGAAAATGGTTACATTATCACACATGATGCAACAGTAAGACTTTGAAAAATAATGTCATGAAGAAAAAAATAAGTTCAGTGTGCTAAAAGAACAGAATAAACTTGAACAGAATTTGCTGATTTGAAGCAATGTTTTGAATTACTGCTGCTTCAGGCACAGAAGGGCTTCGGGATATGTAAAAATTGCCCCAAGATCACTAACGAAATACAACAACACTGAGCTCGGTTTGCAAAAACACGACTTGTCTGTCAGCACATTACTGACATGCTTTGTAAAAACAGTGTATCAGCTCTGCTAATGACCTGTTCGGGCCTCATTACTGCAGGACTACACGGCCACCATATTCCTCCGCCAGCGATGGACTGATGAGCGCTTGGTGTTTGAAGGCAACAAGAGCCTGAGCCTTGACGGGCGGCTAGTTGAGCTCCTCTGGGTCCCAGACACGTTTATTGTTGACTCCAAGAAATCCTTCCTCCATGACATCACTGTGGAGAACAGGCTGATCCGCATCTTTCCCAACGGGACTGTCCTTTACGCACTAAGGTGGGGCAACAAATAAAGATTGTGCGTTAATGGGCTTGTTCTGTTTATTGTTTTCTGCTTTGACAGACAATGAAAAGTAGTCCGGGGAATGGATAGGAACATTGGCTGAGGGAAGAAGCGTGGGTTGAATATGAGATAATGTGATTGCGAAGCAGGGAGTTTTGTCAATTCTATTACTTGTGTATTGGATTGTATGAGTATAGGACCGTGTGATTTGGCAATACAAAGAGGTGTGGGCTATCAATGCAACATAAGTCCTGTTAGGATCTGGATATAACAGATATTGTACTGTGTCCAAGGCTTACGATCTGATGGGATCTTGGCAGGCTTCTCAAATTTGTATTACCTTTGCATTCATAGATACTGAGTCAAGCAGGCAGCTTTTTTAAAACTGTGGTGAGAGGGATTTAAACATCCTACTGTATTACTGTCACATGCTGTAATCTCAACTCAATAGATTGGTGATCTGGATTTGACTTCATTGACTCAGTGCTTTTGTTTTTTAAATTATTCTTCCATATACAGTGTATGCGGAAAGTATTCAGTGCTTCACTTCTTCCAGATTTGGTCATGTTACAGCCTTATTCCAAAATGGATTGAATGTATTTTTCACCTCACAATTCTACACACAATGCCCCATAATGTCAAAGTGGAAAAAATTCCTTCAAACTCATGCAAATTTATTAAAATAAATAAATAAAACATGTACACAAATATTCACAGCCTTTGCTCAGTACTCTGTTGACCTCTGACAACAATAGCCTCAAGTCTTTTTTCAGTATGACACTACAAGCTTTGAACACTTACTTTTAGGCAGATTCTTTCTTCTTTGCAGAACCTTGCAAACAGTGGATGGGGAGGTTGTTCCACAGGGGTTCAATTCTAGGCTCTGGCTGGGGCATTCAACAATTCACAGAGTGGTCCAGAAGCCATTCCTTTGTTATCTTGGCTGTGTGCTTATGGTCATTGTCCTGTTGGAAGATAAACCCTCATCCCAGTCCGAGGTCCGGAGTGCTCTAAAGCAAGTTGCCATCGAGGATATCTCCGTACATTGCTGCATTCATCTTTCCCTCAACCCTGACTAGTCTCTCAGTTCCTGATGCTGAAACACATTTCTGCAGCATGATGCTTCCACTATCGTGCTTAACTGTAGGCATGGTATTGGCTAGGTGATGATTACTGCCTGGTTTCCTCCAGAAATGATGTTTGGCATTCAGGCCAAAGAGTTCAGTATTGGTTTCAGCAGACCAGAGAATTTTGTTTCTCATGGTCTGAGAGTCCTTCAGGTACCTTTTGCAGACTCCAGGCTGGATTGTGCTCTGAAATGCACTGTCAACCATAGGACCTTATATGGACAGGTGTGTGCCTTTCCAAATCATGTCCAGTCAACTAAATCGACCACTGGCGGGGTATGTGGGTGTTATGTTATATTAACCTGAGTTAGGTAGTCTCTCTTCACAGTCCATCTGTATATAGTACAGTATTTTAAATGTGAACATGAGTTGTGTTTCTTTTTTTTTTTAAAAAAACACGTGTCATCCTTAAGTACAGCGAAATTCAATTTCTTGACTTATTGTTGGGAATAAATAAGAGTTTCTCCAGTCTTCATGGACCTTTGCTTTCAATACAAAGAAGTGCTTACCGTCTACGCTTCAGTGTGGCAGAGAAAATGTGGAGGAGGATGGTGCTTCACAGTCAGAGAACACAACTAGTGAGAGTAAAACAAGCCAGAAAAGATAGTCAGGAGAGAAATGACCACCTTGGGGAATTGGAGCTGTAAAAAATGACAGAGTGAAGTGAGAAATATGAGGTGCTGGAGGAAAGGGACAGCTGTGGTAAATGTTTCAGTGCTGTGCCTGGAGGGAATACATGAGAAAGCACTGAGATGATTGTAGCCAAAGGTTAAGCAATTAAAGGAAAAGCTGATTTGAAAAGGATACTGTATGCCACTTTCATGCTTTCAAAGTCTCCAGGAATAACAAATATCATTTGCCGTTGGTAACCTTTTTCATGGACTTTAATAACATTTCTGTTGTCTAGGATTACCACCACTGTGGCTTGCAACATGGACCTGACCAAGTATCCCATGGACAAGCAGACCTGCACGCTACAACTGGAGAGCTGTAAGGCCACTTTAAAGTTAACCCCTTAAGCCCCAAGCCTACCTGATCTCCTGCCTTTTGCCCCCGTATCAGGGGGCGTTGGGGCTCAAGAGGTTAAAGAAAATCTGATCTTTGCTACCTGAAGCTGTGGCAGAGTTGTTGGTGGGTGGGCATAATTTCAAGTAAATCCGATCAAAACAAAGGATGAAATGGATCACTTTCATGTTCTGCATTGGTTGTGTGTGTGTGT